CTTGGTAAATATTAGAGATTACTTAATTAATATTTTTAATGCAAAAAGCAAAATATAAAAAAGAATCAGAAATTAGGAGACTTCACCATCTGGGGTTTGTTCCACACATTCTGCTGGCAGTGAGGAACAGCTCCACACAGAGATGCACTCTTTACATTTTGGCACCAGTAGGGGGGGCCGCGAGCACACTGCTCAGTGCCCAGCAGAGGCGTTCCTACAACTGAAAGAAAACAGAACACATCACCATAAACCAGAAAGCAAAGATAGGAGAAGGTTCAATTATCATAAAATAAGAACTTCCCAACAGTAAAGAAATCCATCCTTTGATTTTCGGTCATTTACAGACTTATATGGCCAGAAACTGACCGTTACTACTACACACTAAATCATAAACAACTACCAATGTAGCCTAAAACCTCAGGAACAGTTCCACTTCACAACAAGTGGAACCAATGTTGCTGTAAAATAAGATGGTTCTCACTCAGAGGGCCAAACAGGAACAGACACAGGTTTGCACTTCCATCTATATAAGGTTTAACATGAACTGGCCTTCATTTTATTTACTATGTTTATGCTCTAATCTGACAGTTATGCTAAAAAGTATACCCTTAATCTTACCCTAAAGTGAAATTATGCTACCTCTAAACTGACTTCCCAGCAAAAAAAAAAAAAAAAAAAAAAAAAAAAACAAGTGGGTGGGGGTCCACCACATAAAGACCACCCTTTTGTCCCCACACCCACAATATAAGTAAATACACCCAAATAGTACTAAATAGGCAACAAGTATACACATGTACAGTTTAGTGCATTTAAGGGGATTTCAGAAGTAAAGTTTCCAAGAGGAAGTTCAAAAGCTACTTTCAGTTATGTTATTGCTCAACCAGTGAGAGCATCAGGGAAGAGGAACCAAATGTAGATTTGACAGACCAGTGTCTAAATGGGGCCTCTGCTCCTGTAGATGTAACGCTGGGCTCAGATGCAGATTTTTTAAGAATAAAAGTAATCCATTAACGCCTCATGTTCGGTCAATCCCTTAACATGCAGTCAAATCCTGATGTTGTGCAAACCAATTGGTGTGTTCATTGCTTAAGCAAGTTTGCGTGTATGGCCTGAGGGCAAATACTTGGCAGTCAGGATTCATGAATAAAAATCAGCATGATTTGCCAATTGGATCAGTTAAATTTGATGTGGCATTAAAAATACAAACAGTAAAGCACGGTTGTAAAACTAATACTGCTTAAGAGTAATGCAGATTTTTTATATATATATATATATATATATATATATATATATATATATATATATATATATATATATATATAAATAGATTATGCTTCTAAATGCAAAAACCCAAATACAAAAATGATATCATCCCATCCTTACAGGGACTCATTCTCACTCTTTTAGTGAAGTGAAACCAATCATGTGGTAAAATACCAAAAGCACAGCTTAACACTTCCCAGTCTAATGAGGGATCTTTCCCTACAAAGAGAAGCAAGACCTGAAAGTGACATTTAGATACTGCAAAGGAAATTTTTTCCTCCTTCAACTAAATAAACTCAGAACAGCTAATCGGGATACAGACAGGACAAAATATGGACTTGACTGATGAATAAGAACTTGCAACACTGAAACTACTGATCATTCACTGCAAAGAGGCCAGAGCCCCTCCCAACCACTATTTAAGTCACATGAGCAATCAGACAAAACAAGCTGTTCTCATGCAAACCAACTGTTCAAATGACGGAAACTTTCAGCACATGCTTTAGGATTACTGTAAACTTTTTTGTAAGTGAGCAACAACAAAAAATTTGATTACTTTATGCATTTTATCAACCCACAGCTGTTCACTGCAATCAGATGACAGCAAGTTTAGCAAACAAGTAGTGGGACTGAAGAGAAAAGTTTGCAAGTTCTGTAAAACATTGACATGTTGAAGCTAGGATAGCTTAAAAAAGGCAAAAAAGTTAAATCAAATAATGCTTTATTTTAATTGAGAATAAGCACCAAATACACAGCCTTAAGCAAAATTAGAAGGCCAGAGGGCTGCTTTTGTACCGATAAGAATAGCTGTATTAAATTTAGACCCAAAAAGATTAAGATTAGTATAAACTGCCTTTTTTAAAGTTTTTTTTTCTTAGAAGTCATTTGTCACACTGAGCTATTTATATCTGAAAATTACCGGAATACCGGTTGATAAAGAGGAACATGCCAGCTAAAGGTACTCAAAACAGAAAAGAACTCTGAAAAAACATATATATATATATATATATTCAAATATATAGAAAGGCTAGTGAAAAATACTAAATTAAAAATTAAGCCCTAATATTTAAAAAGGAAACAAAAAATAAACCCAGTTGTGAAACCGTTAGCTAGCTAGCTTAGCTACATTGGCTAGCAGGCTAATATTAGCTAAACACTTACAGCATATACCTCAAAAAACATTTTGTCTTATAACTAGCTATGACTCGTTTTATATTTTCAGACGAAGCGATAGATTAATCATTGACTGGTGTCTCATATAAAAAAAAAAAAACACCACTGATATAACGAGCCTTTGCCCTCCATGCTAACTTGTTTACAAAAACAGCGACTCATGAAAAACTTCCGCGTCCTGAAAAAGATCCGCACTAAGTTACACAATCAGAGAGCAGCTACCGTGGCCTGACAAAAGAAACACAAAAAAGATTAAAACAACCGTGAAGTGTATCTAACGTCACCATTACCTGAGGACACGAAGAGCAGAGTTAATACCAGCATGACTGCGATGTTTCCAAGTGGACTGTAGAGGAGGAAGGTGGAAACTACCGAGCGGAGCGGCGTGATAATGCTTTTATTTCAGCTCTCTGTCAGCTGACTGCCCTCATGTGATTCTCCGTCAGCGATTCATCAGCACAGTATCAAAGGTCATCGCTTCAAGACTTTAAAGCCATTTTTTGAAGCCATTTTTAAGGGATATTACTTTTACCAAGCTCCGTAATTGATTATTCCCGTTAAAGTGCCTTATTCTTATAATTTGCATGCTTTATCAACACATCATGTTACCTTTACCTTAACAATTAAAATCATAATCTTACCCCAATTGCATATATAATTTCAATGTTAATTACAAATTTTAAAACTGAAATGCAAAAAACATTGATTTCAGCGGTTTTTAATTTTTAACATTGTGTGTAGGGTATGGTCTCCCGCCCACTTGTTCCTACTATGAAACTATAAAGGTATTTCTATTTTTATAAAATGTTAAATTCCTTTCTAAACAATAAATTAATTACTTTTTAATGCAGTTGATTTAAAAGTGGTTGATCAGTCTATCTGAATTTAATATGCTTCTTTTGAAGTAATAATCATCAGATTAAGAGTGGGTCATCCTATTTAAATGACAATTTATATTTAATAGGGAGGAAAAATGATGATAAATGTGAAGGATGTGGAAAAAAAGATTGTAGAACATGTACTGATTGACTAAAACTTATGAACATGAAAAGGAGAGAAATTGAGAAGGATGGTTGGAAGGACAGTCAAAAAATGGAGAATACATGGAAATGAAGGAAATATAAAGGATATTCATGGATTAAGGAAAGCATTATTTATCTACAGAATACAAAATTAAAAATTTTTTATTTGTAATATTGCTACATACTAGTGTACAGTAGGTGGCGCTATGCACCTTAAAGTTGCTTGCGATCCACCATAATGGAAAAGAAGAATATGCTTTTTTTTTTTTTTTTTTTCCTCATTGGCCTCTTCTAGGTCATTTTGTTGCCATGGTGCCCAGGAGCACCGCTGATGAGGAGCAGGTGTGTTCAATCAGTTTTCCTGGGAAATTAAACAGGTGAGAGCTTTATTTATTTAACTGTGTGTGTAAATAAAGTGTGATTTTTCTCTGATGGTAGAAAATGAATTACTTCCCAAGGTTTTCAGAAATGCAAATGATTTTAATCTGCCCTTAAACCAGGAATGTCAGAATTCAGTCCTGAATCCTGACCTTCTGCGTCTCTGCTTTAACACACCTGTATCAAATAATTACCAATTTGCAAGACTTTGAAGAACTTGATTTAACATGAGGAGGTAATATATCTGTTTGTTGGGTTATCTCTATATGAGCCCTTCAGGGCTTGAGTTTGATGTCCCTCCCTTAACCCATAAATATAATCATGCATTGATTTTTATTTTTGCTTTGAAGATAACACATTAAGAAAGCATTCACTTGATTATTTACTGAATTTTGGCTGCTTTTTCTCTTTGTTACATTAACAGATTTTTTTTATATAACTGTTTGATTTTATCTATTTTTTGTGATGCTTTATTGTGCGATTCTTTTTAAATGGTATTATTAGCTTATTCACTGTAAATATCTGCGGTCAGAACGTTGTTTTAAATATACTATATATACACACTTTGGTTTACTGTAATCTTGCCTTTCTTGCAGAAAAACTCAAATATTGACCAGAAAATATGCACAACTTTTAGTTTGTCTCTTTTTATTAAGAAATTCTCTTACTTCTGACAGATGGAAACTAAAATATTTGCAGTAAAAGTTAAATTCCCTTGAATTTTTTATTTGGCAAAAAAACAAAGCATTGTTTTTCAGTGTTTTGAGTCTGAATGATAAACCATGTTTTTTTTTATATCGATGGAAAGGCAAACTTCACTCAAAAGACAACTTGAATGGATCAGTTGTCTAAGTTGTGGCTTTCAAGTTTAACAGCTGCACTGCGGCTTTCTTTAAAAAGCAAACCATGCTTTAAACAAAATAAGTAATCTCGTGGCTTTCTGGAGGAGACCCAGAGCCAGTTTTAGGTAATTTTTTACCAGCAGTCATCAATCGTGGATGTCTAACACCCACTTTCAGAAAGAAATAAAAATAAATGCCAACACCATGTCAAATCTGTGTGTGGAATAAAAGCACGAACAGAGCGTTGCTATCACATGACTATAAAAGATCCCATGACTCAAACTGTCTCTAAGCTGCAACAACAAAAAATTAATAAAACACGTTTGCCAAAAAGTAAATAGTCATTTATTATTGCATTTTACACAACATCACATCCATCAGCAATGGGAGGTCAGTGAGGGAAGTAGAACTGTGGTCTGTCCGGATGAGCAGTGAAGCCTGTGAAACAAATGACAGTGTAAGTTTACAGCACAGAAAGGTTTCTACATAAACACATTTATACAGCTGTGCCAAAAAGTAAGTCATGTGCAAGAATCTCACACCTCTAAACCAGAGCATATTTAGTAACATACATATCCTAAACTATTCAACTGCAACATATGGCAGCAAATCATGATAATCAGATGATAAACTTTTTTTAAACCAATCATGAGCTGACATGTTTGCTATGAACCAATGAGCGATAGTACTAGGCAGAATATTAAAAAAAAATGCAGAGAATAAGCTGAGGAGAAGTGGAGTTTATCACTGGGAGAAACATAGGTTCCATTATGTTTGAATTAAAAAGGAAGCATCTTTTTGCAGAAGAGAGACTTCGGTTTGATAGAGATGAGATCAAGTGTGGTTAGTGAGAAACAGGAAGTTACATTGATATTCATGAATGTTTAAAAAAATATATATATATATAATTTATGTATATAAATAGTTGAATAAGTTTTATGCTTGCTTGAATCAGTGTTGCTATCTGATCACTGTGTGACACGAAACAAAATAAAAACACTTTTTATGATGGAAAAATCAAGGTGTAAAATGTATCTGTTTAAATTTGTGTAATGTAATAAAAAATACCTTGTTTATTTTTAAAGAATATTTTCAATCTTATATTGAGATGTGTATTTTTTTCCCCCCTTCTTCATCATCCAGGAGCACCTTTTATTTTTACTTTAATTGTCTGACCATGTGTTGTAAGCTTTTATTTTCGGCATATTATAGCACGTAAGCTTTTTACTGTATTTGTTTGCTTAAATAAAAAGTTGGAAGAGCTCATCAGAAACATTCAAGGCCTTTTATACAGAAAGATTATGGCCAATCTGATTCTCATGTTGACTTAAAAGGCTTTTAAATTTCAACAGAACCTGACTTTCAATCCAGAAAAAGCAAGTATGGATCTTTATATTTTGCTGTTAGAAGAACAGTTCTGGGAGAGAAGGATATAAATATTTACTAGGACTCAAAATTGAGATTTGAAAAAAAAAAAAAAATGTTTATTTTACTGCTATTTTATTTTTATATTTATTTTAATCCAAGGATTAAATGTAACAACTATTTACCATAAAAGAGAGAGAATGAGCTACACATTTATTGAAAGAGGTGGTTGTTTTAATCTTAAAGAAAAGGGGGATGACAAGATTATCCCTCATTTCTACCTCAAAGTGTATGTCTATAAACTCTACCTGACTTTAGCTAAACTAAATAAAATATGCAAGCATAGAAACAGCTTGCTCTTAAATTCAAAATATAGGCTTTTTTTTTTTACAAAAATATCATCCTGCAAACAAGATTATGATTTAGCAATTATTAAAAAAATTAGCTAAATTATGCTAATTTCCTTTTTTCCCAGTTTGCAACCCCATAATTCTTGCAGAAATTTTTTTTATTGATTATTTCCATTTTACTTGTATGTGTGTGTGTATATATATATATATATATATATATATA